ATTATAATTGTCTTTATTAAACTTATATGAATATACCTACTAGTTTTGACATCCTAAAAATAATCCAAGAATATCATAAAGAAGCACACAAAAATAATTCATCTTTGGAAAAGACGCATCTTATGTGCTGTGTAATCCTATTAATTAAATAGTAACAAAGAATTTTAAAAACTTTTGGAATTGGATCTCTAGTGAATATAATATTACAGCATTCAGTAATTGCTCTTTAACAGCATTTAAACTTTATTTAGATAGTTATCGTGAAAACGCCTATAATAGTAACAAAACGATAAAAGCAGCAGTTGCATTATTATATTATTTAAATTATTACTTATACCCTGCTGATTTACCTTCCGTTTTACAATATTTATTATTAGTTACCCACACTACTGAGTGCTTCAAAAAATCTTTTAATACTTCTATCTTACCCCTTACTCCTACATCTACAACCTCTGAATTAATTGAAACAACAATGAATAATGAATAAGTAAAGAACCTCATAGATCACATGACAAAAAGTTTCAAAGATCTTACTAAAGATATTAAAAATATACCATCTGGTTCGGGTGAACATGGTGAAAATACTACACTAAAAGAAAGTAATATTATCACGGTAATATCTTTCTATAGGAATGATGATGAAGACCCTAATGATTGAATCAGAAGCTTTGAAATTGCTGCTGAAGTAAATAATTGGTCTAAAGCTTGAATGCTAAAAATTGTACCAGTATATTTGCATGGACTAGCTGCATATTGGTTTAAAGAAAATGTCGATACTATCACTTATTAGAGTTCAGATGGTAATGCCACCGCAAATTTTGTACCATTATTTTTGAAAAAATTCTCAACTGAAGAAAAGCAAAATTTATAGCACCATTAATTAAATACACTTCGTCAAGGGCCTTATGAAAAAGTGGATTTTTATGCAGGAAAATTTAAAAGATTGTTAAAGAAAGTCGACTCTTCTAGTGTCTTACCAGATAAATATACTGTAAGACTTTTTCTTAATGGATTAAGAAAGAATATCATTCCTCTTGTAGCATTTAGTCATCCTAAGAATGTAGAAGAAGCTATTAATGCAGCTAAATAAGTTGAGAGTAGCCAATATTATGAACAGCAATCTCCTGTACTAACTTAATCAAGTGAAAACAATAATGCTATTGATAATCTTACCAAACAAATGGAACAGTTATCCTTAAACTATGCAACTCTCTCCAATGTGTTATCCACACAACTTGAAGGAAAACCTGAAAGAAGAAAGCCAAAAGATGATAGAAATCCTATAAAAGTTTGAGATACAAAGGCTTGGGATAAAAAGGATGTTATTTGTTATTGTTACCAAGAAAAAGGACACTATTCAAAAGAATGCATGTCTGAAAAACCAGTATATCGAAGGAAATCTGATAAAAGAGAAGCCAGTTATATTGGAGTTTTTACAGATAGTGAAGAAAAAGAAATTGAAGAAGTAGAGGAGGAAGAAGTTTATGCTTTTTCGTGAAACAAACCTTATACTACTAATAGAAAAACTGCTCGACAATTAGAAGCAGAAAGAAAGAAACAATCTGAATCCAGA